AAAATAAGAACCAAGATGCATCATGTAAAGGTACAAGTTCCCAATGAGAAATGTAAATGTGTTGTATACCTAAAATGTACCAATAGAAGAATTTAAGAAAAAAGAAAAGAAAATAGGCAATACACTGGGAAGGATGGCACATGCATGTTATTCTAGCACTCTGTGAGGCCAAGGCAGGAAAACAAGCTGGGGACTTAGCAAGACAAAAAAGCCTGGCCAACTTAGTGATTTAGCAAGACCCTATCTTAAAATTTAAAAAAAAAAAAAATTAAAAGGGCTGGGAATATACTTCAGTGCAAAGCCTCTGGGTTATTTAAAAAAAAATTGACAAATCTTCATATAGACAAATATAGTCAGGTACTACAGAATGATATTTCAGTCAACAGACCACATATATACAACAATGCCCCCATGAGTTTATAAAGAAGCTGAAAAATTCCATCACATATAACCTGATAGTTGCCACAATGTGGCAGTGCAACTTATTACGTGTTTGTGGTGATGCTGTTGTAAACAAACCTCCTACACTACCAATTCTTATAAAACTAGAGTGTCTTAGTTACTTTTCCATCTCTGGAATAAAATACCCAACATCCACAAATGAAAGGAGAAGTTCATTTTGGCTCACAGTTTCAGAAGTTTCAGTTCGGGCCAGGGATTTAGCCCAGTAGTTCCAGTGCCTGCCTCGCAAGTGCAAGGTGCCGAGTTCGATCCCCATACCAAAAAAAAAAAGAAAAAAGAAGTTTCAGTCCATGCTTTCTAGGCTCAAACACAGAAATGATGTAGTGAAAGCCTGCAAGAAGAGGAAAGGGGCTCACATCACAGAATCCAGGAAGCAGAGAGGAAGGAGGAGCTGGGGAGGGAGATACCCTTCCAGGCCTCTTATGACCAGGCCCCACCCCTAACAATACATTCAGCTGATGAGTGTAACACTCCCATGATCCAATCACCTCCCAAAAGCTCCACCTCTGAACACATGAGGCTCTTGGGAGACATCTTAGGTCAAAACCTTAACATATAATACATACAATTATACACAGTACATAATATTTATATAACTTATGAATTTACTTTTTATCATTATTGTACAGTATACCACTACTAATAAAAAATATTTACTGTAAAACAGTATGTATTTTTACTTGGCAGCAACCTTACACATCTCATTTTACTGTGATTTGGTTTTTTATTTGAGACAGGGTCTCACTATGTAGCCCAGGCTGGTCTTGAACTTGCAGTGATCCTCCTGCCTCAGCCTCCTGAGTGCTGGCATTACAGTAGTCCAACCCCAGGCCTGGCTACTGTATCTCTTGAATGCATTAAAAAGTCACATCAAATGATTGACTTATACCATCTAGGCTTGGATAAGTACATCCTATGATGAAATTTTCTGACATCACATTTGTCAGAACATTTCCCTGTTGTTAAACAATGCATGGCTGTAAATCAGAAATTAAAGAGGTGATGTTAGGAATGGTATTACAGAAATGCAAAGAATAATAAGAGAGTGTTATGAACAATTTCATGCAAACAAATTGGACAGTCTGGATAAATTGCTAGAAACAATTTACCAAGACTGAACTATGAATAGAAAAATGTAAAGAGATTAATAATGAATAAAGAGATTGAATGAATATTCAAATGCCAGTTCTTTTTTTTTTTTCTGTTTTGTTTTTTTGGTACCGGGGATCGAACTCGGGTCCTTGTGCTTGCGCAGCAGGCGGCAAAACCACTGAGCTAAATCCCCGGCCCTCAAATGCCAGTTCTGATACCTGCATAGATGAGTTCTACCAAACATTTAATGAAAGGGTAAACGGCCTGTACACTAAAAACTAGAAAACAGTGATGAAAGAAATTGAAGAAGGCACAAATAAATGGAATGATATCCTATGTTCATGGATTAGAAGAAACTATGTTAAACATCCATATTACCCAAAGGAATCTATAAATTCAATGCAATTTCTATCAAAATTCCAATGGCATTTTTCACAAAAATAGAAAAAAACAATCCTGAAGTTTGTATAGCACTACAAATTAACATGAATAGCCAAAGCAATCATAAGCAAAAAGAACAAAGCTGGAGGCATAACATTACTGGTTCCAAAATATACTAATATATTATTAATATATTTAATATACTAGCCACAGTAATCAAAACAGCATAGTATTAGCACAAAAAATGACATATAGCCCAATGGAAAAGAATAAAGAGCCCAGGAACAATTCCAGGCATTTACAGTCAATTGATTTTTTGTTTATGTTTTTGTTTTTTTTTTTAGATAGGGTCTTGCTCGGTAATTCAGGCTGGCCTTGAATTTACTATGTAGCCCAGGCTGGCCTCAAAGTTGTGGCAATTCTCTTGACTCAGCCTCCCCAGTGCTAGGATTACAAGTGTGCACCACCACACCCAGCCCAGTCAATTGATTTTTGACAAAGGTTCTAAGACCACACAATGGAGAAAGGACAGCCACTTCAGTCTGGTGTTGGGAAAAGTGAATATCCACATGTGAAAAAAGAAAAAAAGTGGACACATGTCTCCCCATTTGTATTTGAGGTTTAAACATCAGAACTGAAACAGGCACACATCTATAATCCCAGCACACTGGGAGGCGAAGGCAGGAGGACTGCAAGTTTGAGCTTGGGCAATTTAGTAAGACCCTGCTCCAAAATAAAAAGGGCAAGGGATGTAGCTCAGTGTAAAGGCCCTGGGTTGAGTCTCCAGTACTCGCGCCCCCCAAAAAAAAATTATAGAGCATTTCAGAGATGTTAAAATAGATCTAAATGAAGACAAATACTATGTTCAAAGATTCTGAGATGTCATAATGTAAGATGCCATTGTAAATGACAATAATCTAATTTACAGATAAAATACCATTATAATTTTAGTACAATGTAAATACTCTCAAATTTTCAATAGACGTCTTTTTTACAATTGCAAGCTAATGTTTATATTAAAATGTAAAAGACCAAGAACTGTTGAGGCATTGGGAGGAAAAATAAGATTAGAGGACTGACTGTTCCATATCAAGACTTGTATAATCTTATTAGACTATTGCAGTTAAGACAGTGTAATACTGTTGCAGAAATGCCATATAACCAAATAGATTATAATATGATAATTAGGCACAAATAACCTGAATCTAATCACAAGACAATATCAGATAAACCCAAATTAGGAACATTCTATAAAGTAATTGACCTGCACACCACGCGTGCACGCACACGCATGCACATGCACACACACGCGCACACACACATACAGATGGAAACTAAGTGTGGTGATAGATGAGTTACTTTGTGGCATTCATTTCACAATGTATTTCAAATTTTTACATTTTAGAACTTGAAAATGTATAATTTTTGGCCAGTTATGCCTCATTAATGCTGGAATAAATAAATGAATGAAATAACTGATATTCTTTTAAAAAATCTCAATATCATAAAAAGACAAAGAAATGCTGAAGAATTCTTCCATATTAAAGGGGACTAATGGCAACTAAATGCAGTATAGGACTGTGTACTAGAAGGTGGAAATACTTTAGTAAAAATGAGATTATAGGAACAATTGAAAACATGGGAATATGAAATGTAAAATACTGTTTATTAGTATTAAACATATCTTTGTTTTAATCTTGATACCCTGGTTATATGAGTACAATCTTTCTTCTTAAGAAATTCACACTTTGAAATAAGGAGTGAAAGGAAATACTGTATAAAATGTATTCTAGTATTCTAGAATGATTTGATTAATCAACAGCAAAATCAAATCTAATTGGAAGATTGGGATCTGGGAGCAAAATGAGAACTGATCAAGCATTATAATATATAACCTTTAAGGAAAGATTGCCCGAAGTGAAGTGGAAATTTTTTTTTTTCCTCTAAAAAAACATTTTAAAAACAGCTTCCAGACAAACATAGATAAACTTGATGTATCCATCAATTTAGAAAAAAAATCTAAGTATATGCACTGGACCTGCTATATATCCTTCCTGAAAAATCATAATGATCTCATCTGCAAAAAGTGCATCATCCTCACCTTATCTTGATCCATACATAACATGTGTAACATGCCTTATCTGTGTTACTATACAAATAACATAATACTTAATAGTTTAAAATTAAGAATGGAGTGTGAAATTAGACACTCCTGAAGAAGCTACTACTATAAAATTCTTCAAAGATTAAAATGCAGACAGGCTTGGAGATAATGAGACAAAGGCTACTTTGGACCTTTAGGAAATAAGCCATTAGTTCTGATCTCTTGCATCTTACCTAATATCCTCAGGACACTGAGGTAAAACAATGACTTGACCAATCTTCTCCCTAAGAAGGCAGTGAGACACTATTTCAGTCCAATGGTCAGGGTTTCCCAGCTTTATTTTAGCCAGCCAGTGGGGTGCCATAACAATGTATTCACCTTTGTTCTCTACCTATAAATGTTACTTTTTTCTCATACTTTTCCTAGCAATTTGAATCTGTATTCCCGGATTTAGGTTACTCATATTTGGCTCAGAATATACTACCTTCTTACTTTCCTTTAAGGCAGAGTCCTTATTTTGCATCTACAGGTGTTGTTTTCCTAAAACACTAAGAACAATTACAGTTAGGAAAAACTATGGAGTAAGCTACAGAGGCATAACCGGTGTTCCGTGCAGCAGCTTTCAATTCTTTTTTTTTCTGTGCTTTCTGCCAAGTCTAGACATTTGAAATTTTAAAATAGTTTTTCATTTGTTTTGTGTTTGTGTTTTTGTTTTTTTTTTTAAATGGTGCTGGGAAAAGAAACCAAGGCCTCGTGCTTACTATACAAGCAATCTACCACTGAGCTACACGTATTCCAGCTCCTAGGATAATTTCAGATCTTTTCTGAAATTGGAAGTAACTTTTCAGACTGTGAAGTAACTTACCGGTTACAAGCGTCCCTCTCTTAAAGCTTGCCATTTTAACCGCCTCGCAGCGGGTATTCCTAGCGTGGGACCGCAGGGACCCGGTTCCCAGTGCCCAGGGGCCGCCGCACTCCGGGAGCTGGCCCTAAGATCCGGACCCCAGCGCACCGCCCAGGAGGGCCTGGCGCGCATGCGCGCCCCGGCGCAGCCTCTCCGGAGCTGCCGGGCGCGTTACGTCACCGCCAGCTTGCTAGGAGGGCAACCGGCGGGTTTTTCAAAATGGGAGCGCAGAGGCACCGCCCAGGCCTCGGAAGGTGTCGAGGAGACCTTTCGGTGGCTTTGGCGTCGTCGCCGGCAGCGGCGGCCTAAAGAGCGAAGCCTGATGGGCACCAAGACCGGTTGGCTGCTTGGAGCGCTACCTCGAAGGGGCTGTGTGAAGGGAGCTCATCTTGGGAGCGTCGGCTGGGGCCTGGAAACATGGCGACCTGCATCGGGGAGAAGATCGAGGTGCCGAAACTGCAGTCTGCGGCGGGGCGGGCCTCGAGATCGCGTGGGAAGGGGAGCGAGTGAAACTAACGGCCGTGGGGCGGGCACTGAGGTGCTTAGGGAGAGTCGCAGGACCCGGCCGGCTGTCTGGGGGCGGAGCGGTCAGCCCCTCGCCGCCACCCGGGAGGCCTGCGGCGGGACATCTGCTAGGGGAGTCCCGCCGCTGTCTGTCAGCGATCCCGCGGGTGCTGCCGCGCTGGAGCCCGCCAGGGCCTCCTTCCCCCTCCCCAAGGGAATGGCGGTTAACCCCGGCGGGAGCTGCGGCGGGACTCTAGCACTGCCAGCGGCTCCCAGGGCTTGGCTAGAGATGGGAGGAGGGCGTTGAGGCTGCACTAGGTTGAGGAGCCCGACTGATAGGGTGCTTCAGCTCGAGCCGGGCCTGGAAGCTCAGGAAGTCCCGCAAAGCATCACCATGTCTTCTACCCCAGACACCTGCTATATTGAGGTGTAAATACCCTCTTGACCCATTTTAGTTTTTCCTAGTCCCTTCCCTTCTTTTTTTCCTTTCAACTCCTGTGAGTCATAACATAGAATCTTTAATTTTTAGGATTTTAAAGTTGGAAATCTGCTCGGTAAAGGATCATTTGCTGGTGTCTACAGAGCTGAGTCCATTCACACTGGTTTGGAAGTTGCAATAAAAATGGTAAGAATATGTTAATCAGCGTTTCTCTTGTACTTTGTAAGTAGAGGGGTATGCCTTGTAAGGTGTCACAAACTCCTTACCTACCAGTCTTTAATTATGCTGCAAAGAATATAGTGTATGGACAACGGACAGTAATGCCAAGTTCAGCAGTTGAGCTAAGTACATTTTAGGAGAGCCTTAACCTTGCTTAAGTGTTCTGTGTTCATTAATGTTCAAAACACCTGGTATATGTTTTAATTATTCAGACTTGGAATTATGGGTAAATATCAAGTAAATAATGTTTTTATAATAATAATACACTTGGGCCAGAGATGTAGCTCAGTGGCACTGCACCTGGCTGGCAAGCACAAGGTCCTAAGTTTGATTTCCTGGTACTGGGAAAAAAAAATAATAATACACTTGTGTTAGTTCTTTAACAATCCAAAATACTATTCTTGATTGTTAGAAATAAGTCTACTAGAAATAGCATAAACATAAGCAAATGAAGAATTATATTTAAACCTATTGGGAAAGGGGAAAAGAAATTTGGTTTTAAAGCTTGGCTATACATATTTAGACTTTCTTTTCCTTATGAAAAGTTGCTTAAATTGAAAGAGGGTGTTAGAATACCTTGGGCACACCCAACGGAGATGTGGAGTGGGACTTAGACAACAGTGTGCTTTGACCTCAAAGACATATATAAAAGGGCTTCAGACTATTTTAAATAAAAATACACTTCGTTTTCAAAGTTGACTTTTAACAACTTCATATTTGAAAATTTATTGTCAACATTAAGTGTCTATTATTTTTAGATAGATAAAAAAGCCATGTACAAAGCTGGAATGGTACAGCGAGTGCAAAACGAGGTAAAAATACATTGCCAATTGAAGCATCCATCTGTCTTGGAGGTAAGGTACAAGATTTTTGTTTGTTTTTGTGATGAAGTTTCACTGTGTTGCCCAGTGTGACCTCAAACTTACGATCCTCCCACCTCAGCCTTCCCAGTAGCTGGGATTACAGTTATGTGCCACTTGGCCCAGCTATGAGATTCATGTTTTATAGAAGTAGCCAAGGAGAACGAATTTTTGTATATCATAATTCATTACACCCTTTCACATTTCAGCTTTATAACTATTTTGAAGATAACAATTATGTATACCTGGTCTTAGAAATGTGTCATAATGGAGAAATGAACAGGTACCTAAAGAACAGAATGAAACCTTTCTCAGAAAATGAAGGTAAGCTTCTTTTTTTTTTGGTAGATAAACATCCTACTTCTCAAAGTGTGGTTTTGAATAATGTGCTACTTTGTAATATTTAGTAAAGTTATTTCAGTTATTACTTTAGGCTAGAAAAAGAGATCTTTATCTCCAAAATAATCTAGTACTTATAAAGAATTCAGATGTTATAGAAATAAGAAATATGTTATTCTTCTATCCCAAAACACATTTTAAATTAAATCAATGGTAGCAATTTGCTGTTTACCTTTTAAATCTAGGAAGCTTTTTAAAATGCCACTATTCACTGTAGTTCCTTAATCAAACACAAATAACCACTGAAACCATTTACTGGAGAAAATGTGAAACATGAGTAATGAGACCCCTTAAAATTTATCACTCAACTATCAAATCTATGGAGTCATCTATACCCTTCTTACCCCCATAACTCAATTGAATATATATCTTTATAGAATATGAACTTTTGCAAAAACATAACCACAAAGTCATTATGATACCTAATAATGCCTTACTATGAAATGCAAAGTCAGTTTTAAATTTCCCATTTCTTATAATTTTTAAAAGTTGATATCAAAACCAAATAAGGTTCATATATTGTCCAACTAAGTTATCTTGCCCTCTTAGCTGAGATTGCAGATAAGGTAAGAAAGATGGGTGCTGATAAGCTTTTTGTACATTTATATGTACCGGAGAATAATTCGGTCATATGCATTTAGTTATAGAAATGTTCATATCCTTTAACTCAAATTCCATTGTTAGGGCCGGGTATTTAGCTCAGTGGTTCCGCCACCTGCTTTGCAAGTGCAAGGACCTGAGTTCGATCCCCGGTACCAAAAAAAAAAATTCCATTGTTAGAAGTGTATTCGGAGTAGCTAATACAAATTGGAAAAAAATTCCATACACATATTGGTGATGATTACTGTATTTTTCAGAGTATTTTACAATTTAAAAGGCCTTAATAATGTTAAACAAGAGAATAAGCAAAAGATATAAAGGAAAAAATGATCAGTTAATTCTCAACAAAGTTAAGAGACAAAGATAGGAAAATATGTATATGATGTATGACTAATGGTCTCTGGATGTAACTCAGCGGTAGAGTGCCTACCTAGCACGTACAAAGCTCTGAGTTCAATCCGCAACAACTGAAAGAAAAAAACTGCATGTATAGTCATGTGTACATTTTTTGTAGTCATACATGTACTCATTTTTTGTATATAGTCATGTATATGATTGGAAATTTTATATAAAAATATAAGGCATGCCTAAGAAGAGATAGTAAAATAGAAAAGTGATATAGGCAGATAATTCACAGAGAACAAAATATAAATACCAATAAACATAGGAAAAGATGTTCAAATGCAATAGTAATCTGAAGATGCTAACCAAAATTATGAAGTTACCATTTTTAGGTGGAGACTACCTAATATTAACAAGGATGTGCATGAAACTGTCGCCTATTTAAGAATAACCTGACAAGGACTGGGGATTTAGCTCAGTGGTGCCACTGCCTGCCTCACAAGTGCAAGGTTCTGAGTTTGATCCCTGGTACTGAAAAAAAAACTTGACAAGATGTGAAAGTAATAAATTTTTCTAAACTTCAACTCAGTGATTCTACATCTTGAATGTACTGTAGAGAAACCACCATACATATACATAAGAAAACAAGCATGTATAAGAATGTCTATTGCTATATTTTTTCTAGGCTAGAAAAATCAGAAATGACCCTAATATGCATTAACAGCAATTAAGTAAAATCAGTATCTATGGTATTGCCATAGAAATATTTGTTTTGGGGTCGAGGGGGTGAGACAATGTCTCGCTATGAGGTTCAGGCTGGCTTTGAACTCGAGGCAATCTTCCTGCCTCCGCCTCCCCAGTGCTGGGATTATAGGCATGTATCACCATGTCTGGCTGAAATATTTATAAGAAATATTGTAATTGGAGATAAAAGTAGTGAAACTATATTTTGATATAAATTTATGTTTAAAAAGTATTTATTACAATGCAGCCATAAATTTAAATGTATGTAAACATGCAGAAGAAAGTTATGCAAATATACAGAAATTGTTCACAGTGAATACTATTTAGGAGAGTTTAGGAGGCATCAAAGGAGCTGCAGGTTTTTTTTTTTACACTTAGTATATATTTATGAATTGCTTGTATAATCAAGAATAATTACTTTTTGAAAATAGAAGGAAAAACTGGACAAAGCTTTTGAACTTAGGGAGGGGAGGAGGCTTGGCGGGGGGGAATAAAATAAAATTTATTTTTTAAAAAAAGGATAATTGGACCGGGGATTTAGCTCAGTGGTGCTGCCACCTGCCCCTCAAGCATAAGGTCCTGAATTCAATCCCCACTACCAAAAAAAAGGATAATTACTTTTCTTAATTATTATGGACTTTTGGTTACCTTTACCATGCCATTTGCTAAAAAAATTTAGCTTCTCTTAACTCTGTAAAAAGTTCATCATTAGCTCAGTGGTTTTGCTGCCTACTGCGTAAGCACAAGGACCTGAGTTTGATCCCTGGTACCAAAAAAAAAAAAAAGCTCATCAGTTTATTTTTATTTTATTTTTTTGGTACTGGGGATCGAACTTGGGTCCTTGCGCTTGCTCAGCAGGCAGCGAAACCACTGAGCTAAATCCCTGGCCCGCTCATCAGTTTATTACATCATGAGAATGATATTTTGGTTGTTAAATCTAAGTTCTGAGCTATTATTTTAATAAGTGTTCTTGCTATGTACCTGAATT